GATTCCCTAGACAAATCTTTGAAATTGGAGGTAAAAACTATCTGTGAAGGCAGCAGTAAAGATGGGCTTAAAACAGGAAGATGCTGAAAGCTTTAAAGGAACATTCAACCCCCAGATCCCTTTCCCCATCCTACACAGCCAGATGGCTCTTCCTTCTCCATACTACCGTGGAAGTTTAATCCATGGAACACAAACAACCAACAGTCTGGCCTGGAACTGTCAGGCATTGTCAAACAAGGAAGTAGAGTCTGGCTGAGAACAGAATGAATAAAAGTTCACACCTGACTAGTAACACCCAAGCTCCTTTCTCTCTGCTTCCTGAATGCCACCTGTGAGGCTTGAACCAGTCCCTACATTTGAGGATTACTCTTTAGGGAAGGCAAACTATCCAAATAAAAGGGTTAGTAGCTTGGGGATCTTCAGTGAAATACCTACATCTCTGCCAGATTATCCAAAAGTGAGTTTTAACAGAGGACAAACTACAGCTAGCTTCTAGTAGGCTTTTATTGACTCGATCTAAATACCCTAACACATCAAAGGAAATCAAAGACCTCCCAAAATCTGAGAAAACTCTCCATCATGAATGACAGGAACAAAACGAAAAGGGGAAAAGAGACTTGGAGAAAACAGAACAACAAAAATCTTAAGATTTTATAATTTGTCATCTAAGAAAAATAATCATGTTACATTCATGGAACAGCTATGAAAGTGTCCATGAAGAACCCCTTTAGAGAAAGAATTACTCTGATTATGAATAAAAGAAAAAAACAAAAAGGTTGTAGGATAACATTAAAAATTCTCCAAGAACAAAAGAAAAAAAACAGATCAGAAATAGAAACAAAAGAGAGTCAGAAAACCAGTCTAGAGAAATTCCAAAAAGTAAGAGAAAATAAACCAAAAAGTAATATTAAATAATATTAAACTTGCCCAATGCTGCAACACAAGCATTTCCAAACTGAAGGGGACTACAGAGTCCCCAGCACAGTAGAGAACAGAGACTCACACCAAGGTTTATTCCTGTGAGACTTCAGAACAGAGAGGCTCCACACCAAGACATATCTTTGTGAGATTTCAGATGTGGAAGTAAAAGAGAAAATCTTAATAGTGAGGACAGAATTCTAGATACTTTTTCCTATTCCAAAGTTGTTTCCAGGGAACCTGGGAGAGTCATGCCTACAAACATTAACAGATGGCTTTGGTCCATTGATAGTGAGATGCCATATCCCGTCCCTGGCATATTATTTTTATGATGAATAGTATGCCTTCTTATTATCCCGTCCCTGGCATATTATTTTTATGATGCCTTCTCACCTCTTAAGAGTAAAGCACAGACATTCCTTTGCTGATTTCTTACAGAAACATAGACTTGTGTTTTTATTTAACTAATTACTAATTTGCACCAGGCCAGTGTAAAAGACTCCTTATGCTGATTGACAACTCTCCTGCCCTCAGAACTAAATAAAAGGAACCACTGTATCTTAGCACTCCAAGAAATACTTTCACATTTCTCTGAGTGCGTCACTCAATCTCGTGTTCAGAATAAACTACAGTAATTCTTATTTCTACAGAGCTTGGTTATTTCTGTTGACAATAGCTTTTAGAAAAGAAAAACAGGTTCATGCACTAAGGATCAGGAAACAGAATGTAGGCTTCTCAATAGCTAGACCATAAGCCTTTGGGAAACTGAGGAAAAAAGAAAAATTCCAGTGCAGAATAAGCCAAACTGAATTATTTGTGATATCTGAAGAAATTTTCAGACAACAGTTTTTCTTTTGTAAAATTTTTTTTTTTTGGTAAAAGCTACTGGATAATATGTTCCACCAGAATGAGATAGTAAATCAAGAAGGGGGAAAAATAAAACCCATGAGATTCCGGAAGCACGGAATTTAGGAGAGAGGCAAAGGGAATTCCCTAGGTAATGATGGATGTTTCTAAGAAGATAAAACTGATAGAACAGACATGACTGAGTCAGAGCAGGTGAGATTTTTCACTTCTATAGAAAAGTTGAGAAGTGAAAAAATGAATGGGACATGAAAAAAACTAAATAAGGTGATTATTAACTACTGGAAAAGCCAAAACTTATACAAAACAAACCTGACGACAGCATATCACATGGCTCATTTGCAAATAAAAGTTACAGTTATACCAATGGAAATAGTATAATGACCAGGAATAGTATAATGATTTGGTAGCTAAAGAGAATACATAACCTGGAAAGACTACAGAACAGCAGCATATACATATCTCACAAATAAGTGGTAAACACTACCAGAGGAGCCGAAAGCAGATGCTCTGGAGAGGCAGGAATCCAAAGCCAGGAATGGCAGGGCAGGACACTGACATTTTTAACATTATAAATACGCTATTTATTTCCTTAAACTATGCATGGTATTATTTGATTACGTTTTAAGTTATATGACAGGACAGGCTGACCTCTACATTGGAAAGGGAGAAGGATATGCATATCCTTCATGTGCTCTCTGGAACACCAGAAGTGTCTGGGATAGGGAGGACCCTGAAGAGGCACACAGAGGGTGAGTTTTCCTACCATCTCCTGTGTTCTGGATCCCAGGGATGCAACTGTTTTCTGATTCAATAGCTCACCCCAGATAATATTAAGCTTAATCCCAACTATATTTGTATTTTCCTTTTCCCTCACAAATATTGAGAATGCCTTCTTCAAGAAAAATATAAACTGAGTTTGAGGTGAGGGAGATGACATTGTAAAAGCAAGTTACTTGAGATTCTAGGTTTTCCTAAAGACCCAGTCAACCCGTTTCTACCTGTCTTCTGTCATAGTCAGCTTTTGATCAGCCAACTTGAACTTGGGTTGGTTCACATATTTGCTTGGACTGTCATCAGAACTCATACCAAGTCGGATTTTAGAAATTTAGAAAAAGTGCTGAGAAGAATACTAATCTCTGCCAATATTTTTCTTCTACCTTTATTAGAGTTTCTAATAATTAAATCAAATATATTTCCTGATCACTTGGCTAGGAAGTGGTATTTCTCAAATTCTTCCCAAGTATTGAAAAGTATGGAGTTGTTTTAATGATACGAAACAAATGGCCACATACAACTTTTCAACTACACGCTCCAAGACAGTTCTTTTATTTTTATTTATTTATTTTTAAATGGCCACATACAACTTTTCAACTACACGCTTCAAGACAGTTCTTTTCTTTTCTTTTCTTTTTTTTTTATATATTTACAAGCCAACTTACATTCAAAGAGTGGCACTTCACTCATTTTGTAATTTTCAGCAAGAGTTGAAAACAGAAGAAATTATATTTTGAGACTAACACTTTAGCTGAAAACAAAGAAACCTCAAATCACATTCAAATATAATCTTATATTAGGTATAAAAAAATCCATTAGAAGCAGAGGTAGGCCCGCTCTTTTGCTTTGTACAAAAATGAGAAGAGAGAAAGGAGCTCCCTTAGGCATGCTTAGGACACAATAATGCGAGATGCAAAAACAGCAGATGTACATGGTTTAGACTCTTTTTTTCTTTTCCTAGATTATCCATTAAATCAGATGATCTAGATTCTTCCTTTATGATCCGGGTTTAGAATAATGACAGACTTTTGTTCTTCTTTGGCTACCCAACCTTAAACCTCACTGCCCCTACCATCATCACCAATCTGGGAGAAAAACATCACGATATTAAAGACTGTCTTCAGATTAGACATCTTCCTGCAGTGTGAGCTACGCTGTTTTCTTCCACCTGGTCTCTCTTTGTTCCTGCCTGGTTTCTAAGTCTGCAACTTCAGCTTTGGTGCAGGTGCTACCCACTATCCTGCCCATAAATCTGCTTGAGTTAACATGAATCGGTTTCTTTTGCTTACAATCCAGAATCCTGATTAGACAGAGTTCAACCTCTAAATGGAATTTCTATTCTATTTATATATTCCATTTCTTGAAAGACAGACTGTTCATGAATACTGCCAGCCACAGTGAGTATTCTACATCCCAAGGTCAGATACTTCCCTCATGGTAACTGTAGATGTTACAAAGTGGTTTTCTTCACTGAAGTGTAATGTGCCTCCATTCAATTTCTACCCAGTGCTCTGTTAGTCTCTAGAATAACCCCAAGAAAGTTAGCATCTTCGATACTATAACTGTGAATATTTGTAGATAATTATGTTAGTTCTCTCTTCTTCACTTCTGGTTTCCCGTGAGATCTGCATCAGCCTGGTCACCATCTTCCTTAGGACCTACCTCTTTACTACCAATTTATTTATTTTTTTAAACTGCACTCAAGGTTAAAAAAAAAAGTCAGTGGTTCCCCAAGTACAGGATGTATACTATTAGTGCTAGAAGACAATTAAATGACATTGAATCAGATAGTGAAAAGCTTCCTTTTTACTATTCTATTTTTAGCCTTCTGACTTTAATTACATTTTAAATTTATATTGATAAATTACGGCTGTACATATTCGTGGGTTAAAAAGTGATGTTATAATATGAGAATACAATGTTGAATGACCAAATCAAGCCAACTCATAAATCAGCTCAGACATTTGACATTTTCTGTGATGAGAACATTGGAGACCCATAGTCTATAGTCACCATGCTGTGCAACAGACTTTGGGAGGGGGGAATCAAACTTATCTCTCCTATCTGAAACTGTGTGCCCTTTCATTACCATTTCCTCCATCTCCTGACCTCATTCAACTTCCTGGTCTCTAGTAACCATCATTCTACTTTCTGCTTTGACGAGTTCAATTGTTTTAGATTTTACATTTAAGTGAGAACATGTGGTGGTATTTGCTTTTCGTGTGTATGACTGGCTTATTTATTTTAGCATAATCTCATCTATGTCATCACAAATGACATAATTTCTTCCTTTTAAAGGATATGTAGCACTTCATTGTGTTTACAGCACATTTTCTTTATCTATTCATTCTTTGATGGATTCTTAGGTTGACTCCATGCCCGGGCCACATGAATCACAGTGCTACAATGAGCACGGGAGCGCAGACATCTCTTCAACATACTGATTGCAGATGTCTCCGATAAATACCCAAAAGTGGGACAGCTAGGTCATATGGCAATGCTATTTTTTTTTACTTTTTTTTAATTTATTTTTTTGAGAGATTTTCACTGTAGGGCGTGTGCGCTCGCCAGACAGACAGAGAGAGACATAGAGACAGAAAGCGAGAAATCACCCCCCAGGGGGGATGGTCACGCCGCAATCCCTTCTCCTCCATTCTCCTCTCGGGATCTTGGGCATGCACGCACACGCGCCCGGCGTGAGTTTTAAGCCACCGGGTCCGGGACACGAACCACGGTCGACTATGTGGGAGTCCAGCGACTTAGCCATTACGCTAACTGCTGGTTCCCGGCAATGCTATTTTTAATTTTTGAGCAACTTCTATACAATTTTCCATAATGGCTGTACTAACTTATATTCCTATCAATAGTATACGGAGGTTCCCTTTTTTTAAAGCCTCATCAACCCTTGTTATGCTTAAGAGCCACATATAATAACCTCAAAGCTTACATTATACTCAGTGGTGAAATACTGGAACCCTTTCCTCTAAGATTTAAAACAAGACATGTATGCTCACCACTTATATTCAACACATTACTGGAAACTCTAGACACAACAAAACAAAAGGAGGAAAGAAGAACATAAAATAAGAAAGGAAGAAGAAAACCTGTCACTGCTTGCTGATTACATGATCTTATATATAGAAAATCCTAAAGAACCTACCAAAGAACTATTAGAACTAATAAACAAATTCAGTAAAGTTGCAAGATACAAATTCAATGTGCAAAAATCAGAAGACTTTCTCTACACTAACGAGAACTTAAAAAAAAATAATAAACCAAGAGAGTAAGTTCTAATGGCTAAAAAGCAAAAATTAAAAAAAAATAAAAACTTAGCAATAATTTAATCAAGAAGGTAGAAAACCCATATACTGAAAGTATAAACCATTAATGAAAAAAACCATATACACAAATAAGTGGGAATATATATCATGTCCATAGATTGAAGAATAAATATTGTTAAAGTGTTCATGCTGTCAAACTTGATCTACAGAGTCAAAGCAATTCCTGTAAAAAATTCAGTGTCTTTTTTTGTTTTAGTTTTTTTTTTTTTGACATAGGACATGTGTGCTTGCTGGAGAGAGACAGAAAGAGGGAAAGTGAGAAATCACCCCCGTGGGGGGATAGCCAGGTAGCATCCCCTTCTCCTCTTAAGATTTTGGACACACACACACAGCATGATTTCCAAGTCACTGGATCCAGGACTTGAATTGTAGTCAGTCATGTGGGAGTCCAGTGACTTAACCACCATACCACCTGCTGGTCTCAGCAATGTCATCTTTTCATATATAAGAAAAAAAATTGAAGTTCATATGTAACCACAATGAAACCCCAAATAACCCAGGCAGTCATAAGCAAAAAGAACAAAGCTGAATCATCACACTACTTGATTCCAAGATATACTACAAAGCAATTGTAATTAAAACATCATGATAATGGCATACCAGAAATATTAACCCATGGGACAGAAGAGAATGCTCAAAAATGAATTCCAAACTCAAAAATCTATGGTCAATTGATTTGCAACAAAGGTGCCAAGAATATGCAATGGGAAAAGGACAGTCTTTTTAACAAATCATGCTGGGAAAACTGAATATCTAAATGTAAAAGAACAAAATTGGGTCTTTCTAATTGCATTGGAGAAAGTTTTTAGTTTAGATCTAATATATCATTAACACTTTTCTAATAATTGTCAACATCTCCTAAATCACTTAAAATGTGGGTTTCCTTTCATAATATTTACTTTCATGGCAAGCAATACAAGCTTTCTACTTATAGCAAAGATTTGAGTTTCATCTATAAAACATTAAGTAAAAAAGTCAATTAAAAAAACCATGGTGGTAGATTAATGCTTGGAAAAAACTGCTGTAGAAAGTGTTCGATCTAGACACAATAGTTCATTACTTCAGATCATATTGCATTACCATTCTTTCTCAAAAGTTATTTGATATCATTGGTTATTACCAGGAATAACTTGTTTACTTACTCTCAAAACCTACCCATAAAAAACTATTTTTCTTTGAGACTCTGACAGGCTGCAGTTAAAGTATTATGTCCTCCTTGACTTTTACTGCTTGTGTTTCCAACACAAATTCTCTCTATAGTTCACTATTCTTTAACATTTTATCAGACCTATTTCTTGCCCAGGTTGGTTTGGAATCCCAAATGAGTAACATATTTCATTTCATTCTCTCTCTCTGTTGTTTTTTTTTTTTTTTAATTTAAATTTTGCTTTACTGTGTGTAAGTTCCCTAGAGACAGATGGGGCTGGGGCAGTGGAGAGTGAGAAAGAAATCCCCATACGGTACTCCCCTCTCCTCCAGTCTCCTCTCAGGAGACACACATATACCTAGTATGATTTTCAACCCACTGGGTCCAGGACTTGAACTGCATGGTAGGTCATGTGGGATCCAACACCTTAACCATCATGCCACCTCTTGGCCCTGTTTCATTCTATTTTATAATTTTTTTGGTTTGGATTTTATTTTTTATTTTTAAATAGGAGGTGCATGCATTCACCAGAGAGAGACATACAGGCAGAGAGGGAAAGTGAGAAAGCACCCTCCCATGGGAATTGTCATTCTGCAATTCCTTCTCTCTCTTTCCTTTCAGGGTCTTTTTTTGTTTTAGTTTTTTTTTTTTTTGACATAGGACATGTGTGCTTGCTGGAGAGAGACAGAAAGAGGGAAAGTGAGAAATCACCCCCGTGGGGGGATAGCCAGGTAGCATCCTCTTCTCCTCTTAAGATTTTGGACACACACACACAGCATGATTTCCAAGTCACTGGATCCAGGACTTGAATTGTAGTCAGTCATGTGGGAGTCCAGTGACTTAACCACCATGTCACCTGCTGGTCTCAGCAATGTCATCTTTTCATATATAAGAAAAAAAATTGAAGTTCATATGTAACCACAATGAAACCCCAAATAACCCAGGCAGTCATAAGCAAAAAGAACAAAGCTGAATCATCACACTACTTGATTCCAAGATATACTACAAAGCAATTGTAATTAAAACATCATGATAATGGCATACCAGAAATATTAACCCATGGGACAGAAGAGAATGCTCAAAAATGAATTCCAAACTCAAAAATCTATGGTCAATTGATTTGCAACAAAGGTGCCAAGAATATGCAATGGGAAAAGGACAGTCTTTTTAACAAATCATGCTGGGAAAACTGAATATCTAAATGTAAAAGAACAAAATTGGGTCTTTCTAATTGCATTGGAGAAAGTTTTTAGTTTAGATCTAATATATCATTAACACTTTTCTAATAATTGTCAACATCTCCTAAATCACTTAAAATGTGGGTTTCCTTTCATAATATTTACTTTCATGGCAAGCAATACAAGCTTTCTACTTATAGCAAAGATTTGAGTTTCATCTATAAAACATTAAGTAAAAAAGTCAATTAAAAAAACCATGGTGGTAGATTAATGCTTGGAAAAAACTGCTGTAGAAAGTGTTCGATCTAGACACAATAGTTCATTACTTCAGATCATATTGCATTACCATTCTTTCTCAAAAGTTATTTGATATCATTGGTTATTACCAGGAATAACTTGTTTACTTACTCTCAAAACCTACCCATAAAAAACTATTTTTCTTTGAGACTCTGACAGGCTGCAGTTAAAGTATTATGTCCTCCTTGACTTTTACTGCTTGTGTTTCCAACACAAATTCTCTCTATAGTTCACTATTCTTTAACATTTTATCAGACCTATTTCTTGCCCAGGTTGGTTTGGAATCCCAAATGAGTAACATATTCAGTATCCTTCACAAAAGTCCCTTAGCCCAAGACTCTACTAAGCAGGAGTTCTGGGGATGTTGACTTACCTGTGGCATGTTCTTGAAGACCTACATCGAAGGCAAGTTTATCTGTCTGGGATCTTGATGTAGTCAAACATGTTAGGTACTGTGAAACAAAAGCAGATGCTAGTGAAGTCACTCTCTTCTGTGAGGCCTTGGTATCTCACCACCAGTTAGCCACCAGTTCATCTCAACAGTGGGCCACTGTGAAACAGACTATTTATCTTGCTCATTGGAACATTAATGGGTACAATACTTTGTGAAAACGCTTTAGTGATGCAAGATTTAAAATCTTGATGATACTCTTACCTGATGACCCAGTGACTTAACTTATAGGACCATATGCTACAAAAGTACAGGGAAATATGAAATGGAAGATACTTTAGTTGAGGGACCAGTAGATGGCATAATGGTTACGTCACTGGACTCCCACATAGTTGACCTCTCGCCAGGCACATGTGCTTGCACACCCAAAATCCTGAGAGGAGTCTGGAAGAGAGGGGATTGTGGCATGGCCATCCCTCCTGGAGGGTGATTTCTCATTTTCTTTTTGTCTCTGTCTCTCCAGTGAGCCCATACACCCTAGAGCAAAAAATTCTTTAAAAAAAATACATTAGTTGAAAGATACGCTGAGAAACTTTTAAATTAGAAACAATAAAATAGAACATAAATAATAATGAAAAGGCAAGATAAATTTTGGTACTTTTATTTAATGAAATACTAAATAACTAAAAGTATTTATCAGGAGTTGTATAATAGCATGGAGCATTGTTTATAATACACTGAGCTAAAAAGTAATACACTAAATAATACATTTATACAGTTAATCTATATATAAAAGTTTAAAGGCATAGCAACCAGACTAAGAGAAATTTTATACCAAAATGATGATAGAAGTTATTTTTAGGTAATGGAAATGGGAGAATCATTTGGGGAATCATGATTTCTACTTATTTCCTATTTCTCAAATTTTCTATGAGCATTAAAACTTCTCAAATAAATATTTTTGTTTTTCCTAAAAAGAAAAACACACGGGCAGGTAAATGTTTTAAATTATTATTTTGCTAGAGGGTGTGTATACTTGCCAGACAGAGACAGAAAGAGAGGAAGAGGAGAAAGCACCACTATGAGGATTGGTCATGCCGAAATGCTTTCTTCCCCATCTCTCCCTCCTTTTTGGGACTTTGGGCATACATTCATGCATGCCTGGCATGTTTCTCGAGCTGCCAGGTCCAGAACTCAAATCCAGGACTTGAGCTGCATGGTAGGCCATGTGAGATCTGGCTGTCTTACCCACTGTGCTATGGAGCTAGCCCTTATGTGATTTTTACAGTAACTTAATAAAGGAAAGAACCCCATGACCTGTTTCTGTACCCCCCACTGATGGACACACAAAGACCTCTCAGAATTAGATTGGCAGGCAAGTAAGCACTTGGAACATGCTTTTGAGCTGTACTTCCAGTTTTCCATACGAGGAAGATAGAAAATCACTGCATTGCCCAAAATCACATCTCACAGACTTTACACCCAGAACTGCTCTTGAAAGGAACTAGCCAGAATAGAGTTTATCATAACTGCAAGGATTTTTTGTAAGGAGGGGAAAACTTAATGATAAATAATATAAATCTGCATATATTTTACCAGGATGTTAGCTTTCGTTTTTGAAGCCATGAGGTATGTGCTGTTGGGGTTCAGCTTATTCTATTTAGGTATTCTATTTAGGAAAGGTGTTAGGGTTTTATTTACCCTATAAATATGTACCAGATTCTTGAAGATAACTTATCACCCTTAATTTCAGAGACTGTCATGGTCTAAGGTTTTCCTACTCTCAAAAATGTCCCCATCTCCTACTCAGATATACTTGCATTCTACTCTCAAAAATGTCCCCATCTCCTACTCAAATATACTTGCATTTGGTGATTTTTGCTTTCTGTTTTTCTTTTTCTTCTTCTTTCTTTCTTTTTTTTTTTTTTTTGCCATGAAGGACTACAACAGATGAATGTGCAGGCTGAAAAGGTCAACTTCTAACTATTGCTCAAAAACAAACAAAAAACACTGCTCTAAATAAATTATTTGAGAGGCAGCTGTTCCTTCCGCTGCCAACTTAATAGTTCAAGCTTTGAGGTGAACCTTGCATCACGCTGCAGGTGTAAATATGTGAAAATACAGTCTTGAATTAATGTAACGGTTTTCCACTAGGGCTAGTGAAAGAAGAAAAATCTTCCTTCCAGTGACCATAAGTAAGGAAGGTACACACAGGAACTGAGAGTCACTATTGTTGAGGGTGGCACATCTTATACTTGACTGAGATCAGAAGAGTTGTTTGTGCTGCTACTGTTGTTTTTAAGAGAGATTTTTGCTATAGGGAGCATGTGCTCATCAGAGAGAGACAGAGAGGCAGAAAGCAAAAACATCCCCCCCCCCCCCGAGAGGATGGCCACAGTACAATCACTTCTCCATTTTCCTCTCAAAATTTTGGGCGCGCACACGCACATGCATCCCATGTGAGTTTCAAGTCACCGAGTCTGAGACTCGCACCGCAGTCGGCCATGTGGGAGACCAATGACATAACCACTAGGCCATCTGCTGGTCCCAGAGTCTTAATACTACTGCAAATGATCTGCAATATCCACATTTTACAAATAATATTTATTTAAAACTTGCAATTTCTTTTTCAAGTTACACTGAATTATCACCATTCTGGTTAATTTTGTTCTAATTCCCTGATTAGTTATATAGCCTAGTCAGCCTTTCCCCTTACCTTCCCCCCTGTCTCTGGAGTGACATGAAACCTTCAAATATTTTTTTTTGAGAGGTTTTTTTACTATAGGGTGCGTGCACTCGCCAGAAAGACAGAGAGAGACAGAGGGACAGAGAGACAGAAAGTGAGAAATCACCCCCCCAGGGGGGATGGCCACACTGCAATCCCTTCTCCTCCATTCTCCTCTCGGGATCTTGGGCACATACAAAAATGTGCCTGGAGTGACTTTAAGCCACTGGGTCTGGGACTCATACTGTGGTCTACTACATGGGAGTCCCGCGACATAGCCATTACACTAACTGCTGGTCCCGAAATCCTTAAATTTTTCTAGGACTTATCATTCTATTTCTTTTAGCTAAGAGGAGACAAGTCACAAAATCTCATTTGATCGATTTTTCTTCTATTCTGATTATTTTTGTATATTAAAGAAATGAGTTATTCTATGATTCATTTGATCACCAATTCAGTAAGTGTTTATTGAGCTTCTAGTATGTCATGGCATTATACAATACTTGGTAGGGTTAGGTTTAGTAAATTAAGAAAAAAAGGACATGATTCTTTTTCTTGTGATATGGGAGTATGCATTAGACAGTAACCAAACACATAGTTGTAAACTGAGGTAAGTGATACGAGGAGATACAAAAACAATATGTGCTATAATTCTTTATTTTCAAATAGCACCCGCTATAAACCTGGAGTTTTGCTAATTTCTTGTACCTCCCTCCCTCTTCTTTTAGTCCTCGAATGGTGAGGGTAGATGTTGAACTGTGCTTACCATTCCGCTGAAAGAATGCCTCAAGAGAATGGCGTGGCCATATAGCAGGGTCCTGTGACCGCCCCCTTGTGCTGCCTGTGGGAATGAGGAGGAAAAGTTTCAGCATGAAACAGCTACAGCTTCTCTGAGCGCAAAGCAGCACAAGAATTCGGAAACACTGATTCCAAGGAAAAGACCCATGGCAAAGCTCCCAAGGAATTCATTCTGTAAGCAAACGGCCGGCCTATGACAGAAGGAGACTTGTGACCACAGCCATGCAACATCCTTGGGGAAGGGTAGTGGGGCCAGACTTCTTAGAAGTGGCCCCTGCCCAGGATCAGCAGAACCCCAGAGCTGCTCTACCAGAGAAGCATGTAAATGAGATAGGTACGGCTTACCTTCCTTTGAAACTTCTCAGAAGCGTTCAGAGTGAGAGAGAGAAACACACATGATGTAACTACAGCCTAGCAACAGATGGCAGCATGGCGGACAGCATACGGTCAGGTGCTGTGCCAGGCAACCTTGTCCCTTCAGGCACTCATGCCTTCTGCCCACTCACCTACATTGCTCCTTTTACACAGATCTCACCATGAGAGATGGCCCTGAAATCTGGGACTCTGAAAGGCTAACCGGTTATGCTGAAAGGGAGCTTTCAGTCAAGACCACCTATGAATTCTCTGCCTCACCAGGCAGCTCCACTTTGGCTATTTGCTCAGTAGCTGCCCCAACAGTGGAACAAGGAGGCATCAGAGGAAGACATGGCCCAAAACAGAGCTGCTTGCATCTGTTTCTTTAATGCGATTTCACACATCCCTATGCTGAACTGAATAGCACAAGATAGAAGACTAAACTATTATTTATTCTAGTTGTGGGTACGTAGGTAACTGTTCCTACACTGAATCTACAGAAAATTTTAGAATTACTTTCACACAAATATTTCCAACCTCTCATTTAAGTCTCTCGTCATCATGCTAACCTGTCCACACAAACAAAATTGTTTGATGACCCATTCTTTTTACAAAAAAATATGTGAGCCCAGGCCCTCCCCTCAGGAAATGTATACAAGGAGATTATCCAAAGCTTTAAGTAAAAATCAATTATGAAGAAAATTTTTTTTATTGATTTAACATTATTTATTATTATTCTTTTATTTTGACCAGAGAGAAAGACACAGAGAGGAAGTGAGAAAATAAGCCACAAGGTCCAAGACTTGAACTGTAGTTGGCCACGTGAGAGTCCAGCACCTTAACCATCACACCACCTGCTGGCCCCAAAATTCTAACATATCCCTTTTACATGCCAAGGGCATCTCTCAGCCTACTTTATTTCAATCTAAAGATAAGCATTCCAGGGCTTATTTGAGACCCTGCTCTTTTCCAAGACCCCACTTCAGTCACAGCCATGAGCAACGGGTAGATGGGGAAACCAAGTGGCATGACGAGTAGGGCTTTGAGTAATTTTATTTCAACTCTGGATTAATAGAATCACTCTGTCAAAGAGATGATTTTCCTGTCATACAATGAGCCTAAAGAAAAGAAAAAAGATAAACGTGGTATCATGTTCAAAAAATGCTGATAACTAAATATAAATGGAGCTGTGCTTTTTTTCTTCAGCTATAGAGATATTTAAGTGTTCTCCAGACATTAATACTCTGTAGGCACTGCAATGCTCTTCACAATGTTTTCAAATTTTTGAAATTATTTGCACTAACTTTAGTCTCTGTATTTACAAATGTGTCAACAGCCTACATTAAAATTAGACATACTAAATAATTTTCACATCTTGTCAATCCATCCCAAATTCTCTCTATACACATGTTAGTTGATGACTCTTGATGGCTTATGCTGTGGGCATGTACTCCCGAACCAGGTCTAGGGCTCAAATTGAACTATTAAATTATAGTTCCCACTGGTAACCATGGGCCACACCTTCCAATTATTTGTTCTTATCAACTCTATACTCCTAAGAAGTAGATTTTTTTTGCTGATTACAAAAAGTGGGACTGAGAAGCGTGTACTCCTTTTCATCTCTGGCACTACTAGAAGTATCTCTGGGATCTCATGTCCCTTATTGATGGTGCCACCAAAAAAGAGAGGAACCTAAATACCCCATTGGGATTAAATGAGAAGTCACTAAGTAGAACCCAGGAGCCTTCACACCCAAATCTTCCCTTCTCTAAGGCAGTGTTTCTTGGATGGCATGTACACTTCAGAGTCACCTGGACCTGCCCATAGGGTCTGCTTCAGTAGCCTGGGGTGGGGCCTGAGCATCTGCATTTCTAACAAGTTCCAGGTGGCACTGACACAGTTGGTCTGGGGACCACATTTTGAGAACCACTGCTTTAAGAAAATAAACTTCAGTGCCTAGAGGGAAAAGCA